TTCAAAGGGAAAAGACCACAAACATATAACGTAGAGTTTCGATTTTTCAATCTAAGATCGAACAATTCCACAGATTTATATGAAACAATAAGATCCTCTTTAAAACTGATTAAAATTTCATCCAGAATTTCCATCAAATTAACGTCCTGTAATTTTTTTTTATTTCCTTAAAACAATAAATACTACCAATACTTGTTTAGAAATTTCCTCGAAATAGTAAACTATTAGAAAAGTTGACATTAAAGTTGCCAACAAAAAGACACCAGCTTCTATTATATTTTGTAGATACGACATAACTGTGGTAAGATTAGCCATTATGAATGCAGAATGATAAGCGCTACTAACAGCCAAGATAAAATCTTTTAAAAATTTTACCAACAGAACTCGTTGAAACGTTTGGTGAACGTCAGTGACCACTTTATGTAGCAAAGTACTTATTTCCATCACTTGCCGAAATTTGTGATCCACATCCTTTGTTTTTTGAGATATTTTCTCCTGAACGGCTGTTACAAAATTTTTACCAATTTCATTCAAAACAAATAAAAAGAAAAAAAGCATAATATTGAAATTATAACTGTAAATAAGCAAACTATGAAAACACAGTACCGGAGTATAAAGACTCGTATCGTATTGTAACAGAGTACTATTGATGGAAACAAACTGTACTAATGTTAAAATTAATTGAAAAATTAAGTATAATAGTAAATTTCTTCCTATTTTACTGTTACGGATTTGATTTCCAGAAAAGTGACACAGCATATTTTCTGCAAGAAGTAAGTTAGAAAATATTTTTTCGATTTTTTTACGTTTTTGATGTGAACAAATAATAAAACTAATATCTAACAAAAAAATCGATAAAAACCGAATAATCATAACATAACTAGACACATGGTTTTCCAACTTATTGGTTCTTATATAAAATGCTGTGACTACAGCAATAAATAACAAAGAAAATATATAACTTTTTGTAGTTTTGATTAGAAATTTTCCATTTTTTAAAGTGTATATTGGTAGCCCGTTTAAAGACCATAATGTGCAAATATATTTACCAATTTTACAAATATTTGATTGATTCATTTTAGAACTACTGTGCTTTTTAGTAGAATTGTTTCTATTTAATGGCATGAATCGACAAAAATCTATATTCAATAATGGTACATAATATGTAATTTACAATAAATTCATTATATTGAAATATAACTAATGGAAACGAATAAACGAAGTATTCGGAAAGCACCATTTTTTTTAGATATGCAATAATAAGTATAACACTAGACTTATCATTAGGATAAGGTATTTTATTTCGTGAAACCAGACATAGTTTTTAAAAATTTAGTACGTTTCTCTACTGATTCAGTGAACAGAACAAACTAAAGTCAACTGGATTGTTTGTAGGGAAAAAAATATAAAGCAACTTTTATTATTTTTTATTTTATTTATTTCTATATTGTCTATAAAATAATTATTTTTTTTTATATTAAATACGTACAACTTCCATTTGTTTAAACTGTACTAAATAAATCAAATATGTTGTTACAGCAGCAGTCATCTATAAGATGACATAATTTTGTATTGCAACAGGTGGATGTAAAGATACCAACTTACCGAATAAAAAAAAGGGAAATTGTAGGCAAACAAACCGAATACTGAAAATTTTTCAGGTCTTACGATAGTTTTTAAATAAAAAATTTCTTTCTAGAAAGAAACAGAAAAAATATTTTTATAGTAAAAAAATGTGTACCCACATCCTTATAATGATATTTTCGTCAAAAAAATTTGATTATATTGAAACAGGAAGATGTTTTGTATTAGTCTTAACTATAAAATTGTTGTTTGCAATTTTCACTTTTATAATGGACTTTATGT